GGCATCCATGCTTCCCCAGGGCCACAGTATTAGTGCATCCTCCAGCTCCTTTGGGACATTTACATTCACTTCTGAGCAGGCAGAAATGCTGGCTTTGGCCATGCTAGAACAGGACAGTCCAGGAAGACGGAGTGGAGGTTGTTCTGGGGACAACACTGCTTCAACAAACCCCACCACTGTCACATGGGAGACCCCAAAAACACCACCAGTGTCTAGCAGTAAAGAAAGGGGCTCAACTGGACAGCAGACAAAAGTGACTAAACCCATGGACACAGTAACAGTCAAACCTTCTGTCCAGGTATCTGTCAGAGGACAGGCTGGGGACGGGTCTGTCAGTGGGCCCAATGGAAGTAGACATCCACAGAATATCTCATACTCCCAGTCTCAGTCTCTCCCCCAGGTCCAGTCTCAGAGCTCATCCCAGAGCGGCACTGTGGCTAGCCTCAGTGTGAACAACCTGATCAGGCCCAGCTCGAGCCAGCAACCGTACCCTGGCTCTCCCAACCTGGTTGGCCAACAGGGCTCAGTTCCCTCACCTGTGGGGACCTCAGCACACATATCCCAGCCCTCAAACAATGCTCTTTCCCCCTGCTCTGGTGCAGCCCAGCTGAATGAGTACACCCCCTTGAAGACTGCGTTAATGAGGGCTCAGGCTGGAGTTGGTGTGGGTGAGCGACAAGCGAAGATCATTTCCAAGCGGCAGGCCCAGGAGGAGGTGATGCTAAACAATGGGAAACGTCCCAAGCCTTGCCCTCCATCAGCTACCACTGTTAGCCATATGGATGTGAAAGGACCAGACCACAGCCAGATGATGGTGGGACAGCTGCCTCCCACGTCCTCAGCTGTCATGACGAGGATTAATTCAGACAATGGAGGCCCCCTCTTCTCCACAAACTCTTTCATGAGCCCGGTAGTTCGGCCCACGGATGGCCACTGCCCTCCTCAAGGACCCCCTGAGCAGAATCAGCCAGGTGTGCTTCATCTGCCCCAGGGTCATCCACAACATGCTGCAACCCAGCCTGGCCAGCACCTGGGGGAAACCTTTACATGAAACAGCAGCAGCAAGAGCAACAGAGACACCATCTGTATCATCTGCAACACCACCTGACACAGCCTGACCCTGCACAGCGCCACTCACTACACCAGAGGGCGCTTCAGCAACAGCAAGAGCAGCAGCAGCATGTGCAGAAGAAGCGGGGACTGGTCAGAGGCACTCAAACTGGTTCACCTGCTGGCCTGCAACAGAAGCAGCATCACCTGGAAAAGTCTGGAGTTCAACAGCAGCACTCACATCAACAACAACAGACGCAGCATCAACAGCACACGCAGCAGCAGCAGCAGTCGCAGCAGCATCAACAACAGTCACACCAACAATCGCAGCAGCATCAACAGCCAACGCAACACCAACAGTCTCATCACCAACAGCAGACACATCAACAGCAGCCACAGACGCAGCATCAACAGCACCAACAGCAGCAGCAGCAGCAGCAGCAGCAGCAGCAGTTGCAGCAGCAGCAGAGCTCCCACTCCAGACACCAGCAGCATCTACAGCAGCAGATCCAGCAGCAGCAGCAACAGCAGCAGCAGCAGCAGCACTTTAGGCACCAGGAGAAGAGCTGTGAGGCCCAGGCAGCAGGATCCAGAGCCCACCACAGCAGCCACCTGGCCCAGCAGGAGCACCTCAAGGTCAGTGTTACATGGTAGATAACATGAGAGTGTGATTTAAGAGTTGAAACAAGACACAGTGGCTTAAACTAACTAACGATTTTATTTTATATATATATATCTTTTTTTTAACTTCTGGTGACATTTCTCTCAGTGCAGTAAAATGCGTTTAAAAAAAAGTTAACCCCAGGTATTTTTTGGGTTGGTAAATCTGTTCAACCTATTTGACACTGGCTGATGACAGAGTTTTCCTTACAAAGACCTAGCTGTAGCAATGCACTGCAGCAGACCACATTTACACAGCCACAGCAAAAAACATCCTAAAAACAAAAACAAAGTGCTTGCCTAGGAGCTTTTTCTGTCCTGGACCTTGCAGTGAATAAACAGCGCCCTGCCCCCTTAGCCACAGTTGAGACAGAGGAATGAAAATTTAAGGTTTTAAGTCATTTCAAGTGAAACACAATTAAATTATTGTAATATCTTGCCAGTTATCAATATTTTCAACAAAACATGGTGTTGAATGAGTTTGAGTCTTCAAACCATAACTGGCTTTATTGCTTTATGGTAATCCAGCTGAAAACACAGATTGATGATGTTGAATATTTGACTTTTGTATGAAAATAACATTTTGACTTTTTCTCTCCCTCAGCCTGGTCAGGACCATAACGCTATGCAGAGGATGATGAGCTCTAGGACTCTGGAGCAGCAGCTCATCTCTCCTCCCAGCAATCCTGCGTCCCGGTCATCTGACCTGGCCTGTGCTCCGTCGCGTCAGGAACGCCACCGTGTTTCCAATTACTCTGCGGAGGCGCTCATCGGTAAAAGTTCCACCAGTGGTGAACAGCAACAGCGCATGGGTCTTCACCTTCAGCCTGGCCGCGGTGCCGCACAGGAGCAGCCGGACCTCCGCGGTTACCTGGACACATCACGAGGGAAGGCCAACATTGCACACAACCCACAGAATCGCCTGCCCTCTGACCACCCGGTGTCTGCCGACGTTCAGCGGGTCTCTGAGTGTCCGCCATTCAAGGCCATGGGAGGAGGAGGAGGAGCACATCAACTCAGTGGTTTTGAGGCTCAGGTGTCTCGTGGAAGTGACATGGCCTCTAAATCGGTGCCACCTTCCCAGAGGGGCCCTCAGGGGCAGCAGCAGGGAGGGTTCAGGATGGGTGTTGGCCCTCCAGCAGATGGCAGGAACCGTGGCGGCTACAGCACAGCTCATCCTGGCTCACAGGGAGTACAGGTTGGACCAGCACTGCCCCGGGAGCAGGACAGTTGTCACCAGAGTTTCATGCAAAGCCTCCTTTCCCCCCACCTGCCTGAGCAGAGCAACCACCAGCGAGTGCAGTGCTGTCCCCCAGTCAGCATGGAGTACAGCTGTGTGCCTGGAAGCTCTTCAGGAGACATACAGGTCAAGGCCTCCAGCCCCAGTGTGCCCCAGACGCAGAAGGCCCCAGCTATGAGGCTTGGAGAGGGCAACAAGGGCCACATTTCTCAGGTCAGCAGTAATATGCATGGAGGCCCAGGTGTGCGTGCAGGTCTCCCCCACCCTCCAACTCCACACAGCAGCTCGGAGCCAGGCCGCTCCTCAGCCCCCTCCAGACCACCCACTGCTGTTAGCCAGCACTCTCGCCACATCCCCCGAGATACTCAGCCCACCAAGCTGAGACCTGGTGACCGCGCTCGATCAGGTACTCTGAGACACAGTAACCCCTTTGAACCTGAGGGACATCTGCCTCTGCCTTCGGGAGGAGGGGTGCTGCTGGGCAGACCACAGTCTGGAGGAGAGGCACGACGCAGTACTATCGTTCGCTTTATGACAGACAGTTCACAGGTTCCTAGTGACAACAACCTGGTTCCTGACCAACACCTAACACAAAACTTTGGTTTCCCCTTTATTCCTGAAGGAGGGATGAATCCTCCACCTCCCATCAATGCGAACTCCACTTTCATCCCTCCGGTCAGCCAGCCCAACGCCTCCCGTACACCGTCCCTTCTGCCTGTGGAGCCCCAGAACACTTTACCTTCCTTCTATCCTTCGTATTCTCCAGCTGCTCACCCCAGCCTTCCCAGCGATGTCACCCTCCAATACTTTCCCAACCAAATGTTTACCAGCCCGAGTGCCGACAAGGGCAGCGCTCCTCCCCTCAATAACCGCTTTGGCTCTATCCTCTCCCCCCCTCGCCCTGTTGGTTTTGGCCAGGCCAGCTTCCCCTTGCTTTCAGATATGCCCCCTATGCCCATTGCCAACTCGTCTGGGATTACCCCTCACATATCAAACTTCAGCCTCACCTCGCTGTTCCCTGAGATCGCCACAGGCATGCCCACAGATGGTTCGGCCATGCCAATGTCTCCCCTGCTGTCTCTATCCAACACCTCGTCAGCCGACCCTGGCAAGCAGCCCAATCGTCCTGCCCACAACATCAGCCACATTCTGGGCCACGACGGCAGCTCAGCCGTGTGAGGAGAGAACCTGCTGCGTTTTGATTGAACTGGTGTCCCCGAACTGAAGAGTTTAATTTTCAATTTGAGATGTGTTGTTCTTTAAAATGTTCAAGAAGAAGTGGTGAAGCATCTGATGAACGGTTTCTATGTTGAAATGACACCACGTATGTCTTTTGTTGTTTACATGTTCAGTTTCAATCTTAAATTAGTTTCCTTCGGCATATGTATGATGTCAAAGTTATAATTTGTAAATCTTTTTATTTGACAGTGACAGGAAAATGTGGTCTTTTAAAGCTCTTTGTTTGAAATAAAAACCGACTGTTCGGTAAAACAAAATCAATGTAGGTTTAGAACTTGAATATAGCGTATTCTGGGGTCATTAAGAAACCTTCTGCACAGTTACCTACCAATGTAATTTACTAACTTATATCAGGTTGTACTGTACAGAATCAGTTTTTTTCCAAGAGCTATTTTGTAAATACCAATGTTTCATATCAGAACTGTTAGATTATGTATGTATTTGTAAATACAAAATTGATTAATAAAGTTTATAAGGAGACATTTGTATTTGCTGCCAACTGAAGAATTGTGTGTGTGTTGTTTTTTTTTTACTCCACAAGGTGGCACTTGAACTCATCACTTGCTTGTTTTTTTTGTCGTAGCTCTGGGGGGTGTTTCAGAATCCAACAGTGGGAGAAACAATGAAAATTAGTGGTGGTAGTGGTGTCTTTATTCCACCAAATTGGATTTTAAACTAATTTGACACATCTGTAGAAGAATTGCAAAGCAAATTATTTGTTTTCAAAGCATAAAAAAAGAGCATTTTAATCATAGTGTGCAGCCTGTAGTTACCACACATAAATATCCCAAGAAAAGATGCACAAAACAAGTCAAATTTTGTAAGCTTTTATTTACATGCAATAGTGCTCCAGCATGTGCAGCCACAGAACGGCTTCACTTATAAGGGGAGTGTAGATTCAGGTTCTCCTTCATTTTGATTGCGGATGTCTCTAAGACTAATACTTATGCACCAACCTGTGAGGGAGTAATAATACTGACACACCTGTCACAGCGCCCTCACCTGGCAGTCATTTGGTAACCAGCAAATGAGTAAACACAGAAGTGGTTGCAGTATAAAGTTCAGCTTATCAATGACTGAGTTTAAGATAGTTTCCAGAATCTCTCCCATTCAGTGATTTAAAAAAATAACATAAAATCAAAAAAATAAATAACTATACAATATATAATCTCTTGCACACTACTGAAACAGAATGATTTACGTTGCATACACTTGTTAATAGTTTGTTAATGATGAACAATGCATAATACATTTGTGTTACTGCTATACAAAATGACAGACAGTTGTATTTTTGAAAATGTGACATGGCAACAAAAACTAAACAGCAATGAAGCACCTCTTAATTACAGCATCAGACTGGTTTGAATGTCCCTTTGTTTCTGTTGAACATAAAGCTAAAGTACCTAAAGTCCAAACATTTAGGATGGAGGATATCTTGTGAGGAATGACGTGAGGAGGGTCTAGACATGAAGTGCTGAAAACTGAGGGGAATCCCCTGCAGATTTAAGGTCCCCTGACTGATCTTCTTCACATGAGGAATAACGTCTCAAACTCGCTTTCCTCCACAGGAAATGCAGACAGCATCACACGATGGTACTCCCGTTCTCCATGACGTATTGAGAGGGAGGACGTATGAATAAAGAGTCTTTTTTTCAATATGAAAATAACCTTATATACAGTATAATCAGACACTTATGTACAAAAGCATAAATATATAAATATCTGTGATACAAAAATAAATATTCTCTTTTGTTTTCTTCTGTTTGTTTAACAGTCTTTTATGCATCTGTTGTGTTGCCTGTCCCTTCGTCCTCAGGGGCTGCTTCATTTGGGAGGATGTTCACTTCCTGTATTGTTGTATCTTGGGATTGTGGCGTTGTGGCTGCTGAAGATGATGTGGTGAAAATCCCTTCGTCTTCTAGAGAGAGAAGAGGAAAGGACGCCGACTCTGCAGAAAGAAGCAGGAAGGAATGAGAGCTGGTCAGAAAATGTGACGATGATTTTGTAGTATGCAAAAAAGGATACTGATTCTAAGGTTGGAAAATGAAGATAAACATGTTGAAACAGCCAAAATTAAATCCCCAACTGAAGCATGTTAGTTCGCTCTTGAGCTCGGAATCAGTGTGTCATGAAATGATCTCAACCAGAGGTCCACTTACAAGCTTTTTCACATCTTTTAACCGCATCTGTGCCAGCAATATCTGAAGCCAAAGACCATCTTTGAGACTGTGAGATGCAGCGGAATGCTCCAAAAAAGCTTTTATGTGGTTAACTGTAAGTTGAGATTATTTTGTCACACTTGATATATATGTCTGCACTGCAGGATCATCAACATCATCTCAACATATGAGAAAATACATGTTCCAAATGTGAAAAAGATGCACAATTAACGGCATCTATTATTTCAGTCAACAACAGACTTACTGTTAGTGATGCCATCCTCTGCTTTATCTCCTCCAGAGAAGTTGCCATCGCCTCCCAGTTCCTGTGAACTGAAGCGCTGATGGGATGAGTTGAGGAGCTGAAGAGTGGAGTCATCAGGAGGACAGCAGCTCTGTTCATGAAGATCTGAACCACTTAGGAAGACATAAGAAAAAAGGTTTATATAAAATGTTAAAGGATCAATGACTGTTTAGTATAATTTTACATTTCAAGTCTATTTCTTCCATTTGACAGACAAAACTACAGTGATTGTGTGTTGGGCTTTCGCTACACAGTCTTTGTAGACATTGTGTTAGACTAACACACTGATAAACGGTCAATATTTTATTTACAATGGCAAAGTAAATAGTAAAAATAAAAGATAAGAAAATTATATTTAAAAAGCAATAACCAGCACAATTGTGTCCAATAAATACCTGAGATGATTAATATATTAAAAAAAGAAATAATTTTCTGCTAATTGATTAATTGACTGATGGTTTTGGCTCCAGTTTAGGTACGAATTCCTATTTAAAGTTCAAATATCATGAAAACCATTTCAACAAAGTCTAAAAATGTCATTAACAATCTGTTTAGTCTACTTTGAGCAGTGTTTTTTGCTTCCCCATTAGTTGATTATTTAGTAATTATTGCATAATGTCCCTCCAGTACATCACAATACATACTGTATGTGAGTTGTGTATGTGAATATACCTGGTGGAGTAGTGGTAAAGATGTCCATTTGACACCGTCTGTGGCAACAACGTGTCACACTCCATATCACAGTCCACCTCCTCCTGCAAAACACAAGCACATTAAGATCATATATTCAACACTACTGGACTTAACAACCATTACATTAACAACCTATATTGAGCATCTTTTTACCTGCTGCAGCCCCGGCAGGCAGTGTGTGGCGTGGTGAGGTTTGCCATTTGGAGTGTATTCTCCGTTGGCTGGGTAGACGCCATGGGGAGCCGTTATGTGGCCATCCAGCGGGCAGTGGCCAACCAGGGCAAGTCCCTGCAGGGGAACCATGGTGTACTGGCACGACGACACAGGGGCAGCCACAGCAGGAAAACACAAATCCGATGTTTGCTCTGAAGTAAGCACAAAAGGAGAATTACACAGATGTAAAGGCAAATAATTGAATGACTGAAGACCTAAAAAAGGAACCGGAAGGAGCACTCACTCTGTTTGGCCCAAGCCCTCCAAAGGCAGAAAGGGATGAAGGCCACAATGATGAAGACGAAGGCTCCGAGAACAATACCGACTATGAGGTAGGGGAGGTCACCGGGCCGCGGCACAAGTCCGTTGGACTGTCCAAAAACATGGTCTGGGGTCTCTGATGGATCAAGCCGCGGGTTATTAGGACGAGCTGAGGAAAGAAAAAAGTGGGAAAATAGATGTAAAAAAAGAAAGTTCAGACTTGATAAAGAGAGCATGTTACAGCTAAATGTCCCAAAAGAATGACCTCACCTTTCGTTTCGAGGATCACCACGTTGCCAAATTCACTCTCTCCCTTCTCGTTGAAGCTCTGCATCTTGATGTCGTAGGCAGTCTCAGGCTGGAGGTCACTGATTTGATGCCAGTATCTGTCTCCCTCCACCACATCCTTCTTATAGTCACTGTCATTATCGCTGTCGGTCGGCCGGTAGTAGATGTAGAAACCGTAGATTGGCGTGTTGTTTACAGGAGTGTACTGTTGAAGAGGGGAATAAATCTTGTTACAATCACAATGAAAAACGTATTGACCGCAAAATACTAACTTTAGTAGACAAAAACAACATATTTTCTTCCAATCACTCACCGTCCATTTGAGAATGATTGTGGTCTCATTGATGGCTTCATTGTAGGTGATGTAAGGTCCATCAACAGGCCGCTCATGGGTTCTCCCACCCACCACAGTGTATGCCTTCGAAGGGGCACTGGGAGGACTGGAACCGATTACATTCACCGCCACAACACGAAACTTATAGGATGTACCTACAGGGAGAGGGCTAACCATTACTAATGTGTCTCTGGGGGCTGCCGAGAATAAAGCTCTACATTGTGATGACGAATGTTTGTTTTCACATTACTTTATGTTTTCCTTTTAAAAGAGCAAACGCAATGTTGACTGCGATTCGGTTATGGTTTTGACTGATGGCAGCAATTACTGAAATGACTGTAACAACACTCATTATGCTGATGAATTTACAGGCTGTGGGAGTGTAATTATGCAGGACATCATCACTGTAATTATATGGTACGACATCCTACTTCCCCCCCAACTCCACAAAGTCAGATTAAAACGGCGGTGAATAATGACAACATTGTTCAAGATGGCCGACCTTTCTCGAGGCCCGTGATCTCCACAGAGAGCCGCGATGGTGGGATGTTTTCCACCGCCGTCACCCAGTCCTCGCCTGCCTTCTTCACCTTCTTGTACTCCACCCGAAATGACTGGATGGGGAAGCCGCGGTTACCGCGAGGAATCCAAGTCACGTATGCCGACGTTTCCGTTGCCGTGGAGACTGTGGGCTTGTCAGGGGCTTCAGGAGCTGCAGAGGAAGAAGAATGGTGTCAGATAGAGGACAAGAAAAGACATAAACTCTCAGACAACACTCTGTAATTATGACGGTGACGGCAAAACACATTACATTCAGCACTTACTGAGAGCTCATCCTTCAGAGACGGAAAGGAAAAAGAGGTTGATAAATGTTAGTCGAGAGGAGAATGGTTAGAAGTTCAGGCTCTTGCTGTAAAACAGTATCTTTTAACATTTATTTTGGTAGATGGGATTCTTATAGTTAGTATAGTTAATAAGAGGTAGAGTTTGCAAAGTGTCATAGTGAGGCACAGGATTGGAGGGGTACTTACGAGAGAGGCTTGGCGAAGGAACAGCAGGGGTTTTCGGTGGGTCAATTTGCCCTTTACGAACTGAAGACAGAAAAACACAAACAGTTAGATAAGTGTCTAAAAAAAGGAACAGCCTTTGTAAAAAATTTATTTTTATTTGATTATTTTCTAAAAAGGCAGAAATAACATTAGATAAGCAACTCTGTGTGGTTGTACTAGGGCACTGTGCTTTGAATTAAATACTAATGTCAGCATGCTAATACAATATACCAATGCTAACATGCTGATGTTTAGCAGGTATAATGCCTGAGGGGAATGTTGATGATTAATTCATCCTGAGAGGGACATGAAGGTCTGTTCCAAATTTCATAACAATCCATCCAAAAGTTTATTATTTTACTCAAAACCACAAATGTGATCCTTATACGGGCACCAAGTCAGAGGGATTCATCCTCTGGAAACCATGACTCCATGACCACATCTGTACAGCATTTAATGGTGATCAATACAAAACTTTGATATATCAATCAGGACCAAAGTTGTTGACCAACCAACATTGTATCCCTATAGTCACGCCACTAGCCCAGCAACGTGTACATATTTAAAACACTTTATGACTGATCTGATAGTGTCGTACCTTTTCCAGTTCTGAAGGTCATCATAGCAGGTTGTCCCAGACCTGCACAGTTTTTGGCAGCCATCTCCACCTCATACAGGCTGTCTGGCTGCAGCTTGACCAGAGGCAGCTTGTGGAGAGAGCCTGAGATACTGCTGGAGGTCCACTCTGCTAGAGGGTCACCCACCTGAGACAGAGAGAGACACAGTGATGAGTTACAGACAAAGAAAGTGTATATAATGATTCATTTTAACTGAGAATGCAGTGAATGGATTGCGGTACCTTTCTGTATTTGACCATATACTCCAGCACAGGGACTCCTCGCTCATTCCGAGGCCTCCAGGTCAGTTCATAGTAGTCAGCTTTGCCAGTGCGTGGCTGGCTGAGGATGATGGGGGCATCTGCAGGCAGGATCTGTCCTGGTAGCTCAGAGCAGTCAAGAGGCAACATGGCACCCGTGGCACCAGGCCTCACAGGCGGCTGCTCTCTCAGCACCTTATCTGGGCTGAGTGGCCGATAGATGGAGGGCAGCTTCCCCCTGGATGTAATCCCTAGAAAGAGAAACAGACATACATCATGAAATCTAAATAAAAGAAATTAAAGAATCAGATCTCTGATAAATTACCAACTTTCTGACTTACCAGTTGATACTGTGATGAGGCGAGCGGAGGCCTGCGAGCTGCCCACCCCGTTCTCAGCCATGCATTGGTACAGTCCATCGTCCTGAGGGCCCACATTGGAGACACGCAGCACCCGGGAGGTAAGGCGGTGGCGAGGAGACGGGGAAAGGGGACGGGCGTTGTGAAGCCACATCACGGAGGGAGTGGGTTTACCGCGGGCCTGGCAGGTGAAGCGCACAGTCTCTCCGTACACGACCTCCTGCTGCTGCAGCTCCACCGTCACCTGAGGAGGCTCTGCAGGAGAAACACAAAGTCAACAGGCTGGTTCGTAAGTTTATCGGTAGCTTGAATGTTCGGTGTCTTTTGCTTGATAAATGACATGAATAAATAACCAATGATTAAAATTGTTTATGCTCCAACAATTTCACGTGTATGTGTGTGTGAGTAAAATCACAATCATGCACTGGCGCATGTGTATGCGCAAAGCCTGTATGAAAGGGGGGTATATAGAGCCAGTCAGGCGGGGCCAGGCTAGCTAGTTGATGGTTGGCTGCTTGTGAATCAGAGTAAGACAGAGCTCATTACAGCCACAGCAGCTCTCTGGCTTTAATTAGAGCCAGCTGCAGAGAGACAAGCCCACAACACACACACACACAGACACACACACACACACACACACACACAGAAAATCACTGTAAAAACAGTCATCCATAACCTAGACACATTCAATCAAGTCTTGCTACAGAACGGAGAGCTCTGTCTCCACAAACTTTCTTACAAAGCACCGCCCGCTTCTAACACACACGATTGCGTGCACACATACAGACCCCTCGCCGCCAAACAGGAGTCAGTCTAATTATTAAATCCACGGCAAAGACAAGACTCTACTCATAAAAGCCCTAAAAAAAGCCAACACATGGACATGCTAAAACAACTTTCCTTCACTCCACTCTTCCAGGTTACTCACCAAACACTTGTACATCATAAAGCACCGTCGCAGAGCTGGCTGAACCGATGCCATTGTCCGCTCGGCAAATGTAAGTGCCAGAGTCTGCCTCGCCCACTGCGTCGATCAGCAGGTTGCTAAGCAGGAAGCGCGTGTTGTTGTGGGAACGCAGGTCCTGCCCATCTTTTGCCCATATAACCTGCGGAGTGGGGATGCCACTGGCCACACACTCCAACACCAGCCGCTGGCCTTTGGTCACCATGATGGAGCGAGACGCCGGCGGGTAAATGATCCGAGCTGCTTCTGAGGTGGAGCCTGGAAAAGATGAGGACAGTCAGGGTAGGAATACTTTGCCAGCATGATGTGAAAAAGTCTTTTCCCACCCTTCTCCATTTCTTTGAATTGCTTGTATATGTGTTGTGGCTGAAACTACACCCTGAATACAAAAAGGATTTAAATCACAATGTGAAGTCAAAGCACTCTCATCTCTGCCTTTGAAGATGCAAAAGCATGAACCGTGCACGTCGTCACCTGTGACTAAATGTGTCCTGGCAAGAAGATGATAAAAGTCAAACTGAGTTGGTGAGTGTGAGACACATGTGCACCACATGTGTCTACAGTAACAGTCGCAATGATCTCTTTCCTGATGTTACACAGTTAATATTTCAGGATGACCCTTGGCTTCTTTTTGCACATCTTTAAATTGTGTTTTCATTAGCACAATCAGTGCTAATAAAAAGTGTTATGTTCTGTCTCAACATCAGAGTGTTGGAGATTACTCACGGCGTATGCGCAGGCGGTCAGCGGAGATGGATGTTTTAACCTCCTGAGTGACGGGGTTGTAAGCAGCACACTTGTACGGTCCCTCATCGTCCTGCGTGGCGTTGGCTATCTGCAGGTTCCCTGAAGGCATGATGAGGTAGTTCCCTGCAGGAAAAACAAACACACAGATGTCAGAGCGTGTTCTTAAAGCCTAACAAACCCAAGAATGAACAGAGTGTACACTTATGGCCTGCTCCTGTCAGGGCAGTTATCACTTATGATGGGCTGAAGACAAAGATTCAAAAGGGTTTTATTTGTCTCTTGCTCGTACAATATGTGCAGTGAAATGCAGGATGGCATACTCTTGAGGCTGGGCTATAAAGGCTAGTGTGCAATAAAGAATAATAATTACAAGTAGAGTAAAAATGGAAGGAAAAAATTCAAATATGAAAAATTCTGAATATTTGTATTATTAGTAGTAGTATTACTAGTGTGTGTAAGGCCATCTTTCCAGGATATAAAACTTACATTAATGTCACAACTGTGAAGAAAACTGCAATAAGATTCTGTATACACTGCAGTGTATACAGAATCTTATTGCAGTTATTGCAGTGCATACAAATGAGATCAGGTTTCACATGCTTATTTTCAAACTTAAAAGTGGGAAGGTGCAAACTGTGAAACACAGTGTGTAATCGGAGTACTATGTGCCATTCCAGTGCATGTTTGCACTGCCAGCAGAGACCACATGGTGGCGGCCCAGAGTCTGACCAAGAACAGTCAGTGAATGCTCTTCAATGTGGTATTCATTTCCTCAGAGATAAGCTGCAGATATCAGTACCTACAGCTCCCAGGCATCATCAGCATACCAGCCACAAACCACTGGAGCTTTTCTTCTCTTCCAGGCAACTTAGAAGTAAATAGTTTGAAAAATAAACAACTGCATTCCCATGTTTCAACATTCTCGAGATAATACCCTTATCACCGGTTTTATGATGGGTCAGATAGCTGGATTATAGCATTCCGGTAAATTATGAAGATAGCATGGGAATCAAGAGGGAAGTAGGGAGAGATCCTAATGAAGTGAAGCAGCTCATTACCTTTGGATGTTTCCAGCCACTCCTGTTTGACACTGTAGCGGACCTGAGCCTTGGGCTGGCTTTCGGGGAGGTGACATTCAATAACAGCCGTGTTGCCTTCATCGACCTCGATCTCCTGCTGGTCATCTGGCTCAAAGTCCCGCAGCTCTGCAAAACACAAAGGCGAAGGGGGAAAATGTCAGTGTTGTCACATCATTGCAGCACAGTTCATTCTTTCATCATCTTAATGCACAGTGTAAATCACATCTAACTGCACATGTATACAGTCAGTCCTCGGCTTTAGAAGTAGAAAACCACATTATTATGAGCGATAATAAACTCTATAATAACTGTGCTGTTTCCATATTGGGTGTCTCTCACATCAGCCTGTCCCCATTGTATCGTAACCACATTCCCACAACGTCTCTAATGCGCCCTTCTCTTTGAAAAAGAAACTTCTTCTACCTCTATTTAGTGATTTCTTTCCCCACTGCTTGTCTTAACATGATCCGTCTTAAGACTTAAGGCACTCTAGCTAATTTTTCTGTTTTACTCATTTCACGTCACTTTGGATAAGTCCAAAGCCTAAAAGTGGTGTCTGTAACATTCGAGTAGGTGTCATTAATCCTGTCAAACATTATACTGCGACTGGAGCCGGTTCAGATTCTGTGGGAAATGGGGCGAGTGGGATTACTGGGGCCATGTGCTGCGTCCTGCAGACACACAGTCTGCACAGCACAGACACTCATGTGACCTCTGACCTCCTAAACCCCCCCGCGCTTGAGCGGCCTGGCCACAGGGTCAAAGGTGAGAGGTGTCTGTCCTATAGAGTTTCAAAGAAAGATATCCAGTTTGGGTTTGGGAGGAAACGGCAATGCGTTGCTCTTAAAAAGCCAGAGGAAAAAAAAGAAAAACCCACAAAAATTTTAGCGTGGGGATGCTGCCATTTTATAGATTTGAAGCAGAGGGAAACTAAAATGAGACTGAGAAAACAGGAACAGCACAGGAGGGAGAAAAAAAAGCAACAACTGGAGAAATTTGTCATGAAGGAGTCCAGCAGTGAAATGAAAGATAAATACAACTTCTCCAGGAACGTAATTAAACATCTACCAGCCTTTGTTGATTTATTCTTAACAAACATGGCTTCTCTCCATTCTTTCCAGAGGTGCTATAACTGGTGTGTTTTTCTTGGACCGGCCGCTCTCTCTGGCAAGAAGACCAAGCTGCTGGTATATACAGTCAGCTGATGAGACTTTGTATACAGCTCTAATTCAATAAGTGAAGTTTGCTTAAGGTCATGGTATCTACTGATAGGGACATCACAGTGATTTACTCAAAGCACTGAACAAACACCTTCACTGCAGGCGACTGATTGACCATGCATGTTGTATCCATCCGTGTCTGTGAGCTTTTAAATGGGGAAAAATGAGGGATATCAGGCCACACACACACACACACGCACGCACGCACGCACGCACGCACGCACGCACGCACGCACGCACGCACACAAAACACAACTGCATCTCCGACTCTGTTTCAGCTCTTTTTCTGAAAGATGAGAATCCCAGCCAGGACATGTCAAGCTAAGTGGTGTGTGTGTGTGTGTGTGTGTGTGTGTTGAGGGGGGAAAAAGCCTTAAAAGAGAGACCGTGCGGTGCTCCATTTGCTAAATCAATCAGGTGCTGTTTTTACAGCCACCCCCCCTTCTCCTCCTGCCTCCCCCTCATATCTACCCATCCCACCTTCCTCCTCCTGCCTGCTTCTCCCAAATTCCTCCAGCTACACCTTTTAACCCCCCACAACTCATACCGCCCCGCATTCTTCACAGGAAGAACCCCGCATGGGTGCCTCTCAGGTGTGTGTGCGTGCCTGTGAGTGTGTGTATCCTGCAGGGATGCAGGATTGATGATATTCATAAAGTGAAGCGGACCTCCCGCAATGGCTGCTTGGCAAGGCAGACTTAAATATTTCTAGAGAGACAGTGCATTCATCATCTTTATGTGTAGCAGTAGGAGGCCTGTGTGTGTGTGTGTGTGTGTGTGTGTGTGTGTGTGTGTGTGTGTGTGTGTGTGTGTGTGTGTGTGTGTGTGTGTCTGAATTATAACATGTTTGTGCAACGTGTTGTGTGTTCACGTTGTGCAGATACATGTCTCTGTTTTCTGCAGCAAAAAATGGGAGGGTGATTGTCTGCACAAGAATTCAAGCGAGGACCTTTTAACTTATGCCAAAAAAGCACAGATTCTTCAGAGTCGGATAGCGAGGAGGGTCTGGAATCAACCTATCCTGATCACAAAAAACATGTGCGTACAACTAAGAGGGCTCACATGGAAAGGCAGGCACGTACACACTCCCCGTGGAGCAATTCCTTAGGCGGTTTCGGGGTGGCCGAGGAGAGACCGTTATTAAATTAGAGAAGTTTTTGAGGGAGGCGGGGCAAACAGTCTGGCTCCACATGTGGTTATCTCAACACGATTCATCCACTATTGGACCTATCAATAACTTTTACTGCCTTTGTACACGCTCCGCAGAAACCAGAGGAAAAATAAAAAAAACATGAGAGGTAAAGATGACAAAAGGGGAGGGGAAAGTGAAAGATAATGAGGGAAAGAAGGGAGAAAGTGACAGGGTGAGGAGTGAAACGTGCAGAGGAAGAGAAGTGAGTGTGTGTGTGAAGTTATGGAGGGCTTCAAGGAGACAGAGAATGTGACATCACGTCTCATCTTGTGTGAGGATCTTGTCTCGACTGGCCTAAAACACCTCCAGTCTCTCTAGCTATGGCAGCCTCATACATCACATCACTACATGTAAAACAATACAGTTAATAACACACACACACACACACACACACCACTAACACACACACACACACACACACACACACACACACACACCCCTTATCTCCCCCTCTAGCTTTCTAACCAATTACGGGGCCATAATTTCTGGCGAGCCCTGCTGTCGGGCCCTGTGGAGAGGAATGTGGTGTTGTGGGGAGCAGAGGGGCCGATGGAAGCAGGGGGCCCCGCAGGCTGAGTCCTGGTCCCCTCTACCCCGCTCTGACCGGCCCCCGGCCCCTGGGTCCGCTCCATTCCTCTGGCTCAGGTTACACAGCTTCAGGCCCCCCTCGCGGTCCCATGATGCATATCAAATGTAACACCACACACTCAGACCAGCACCGCACTAAAAACGTCAGCAGTGAGAATAATTCACTTTAACTCCATTAGATCACTATGACACTGCATAAAAACAGCTGTAATCTGACTACACCGAATAAATACTGCCTGACTTTCTGGAGCTAATATCACTAATCAGTGATGTGCAACAGTTTCTCAACATCAGCAGAATTATAGTTGGACCTCAGTAAGGATTACACTCCGCAGTGGAAAAATACAACGTTTAGAGTGTATTGGTGAAGATTTTAAGCAAACAAATACCGCCCCTTCACTGTTTTTGTTCTAACTAGACGAACATTAAGTCAAAGGCGTTCTTTGGATACTCCGACAAACCAAAAAGGGGCCCCGTGTGTTTGTGTTTATTTGTCTCAGCTTTGTGTGGGTGGCTACTCACTGGCAGCAGTGACGTTCGCAGGCACACTAGCCAGGGCTCCTGCGCCGGTGCTGGCCACACACTGGTATCTGCCCAGAGTCAGGTTGGAGAGCGCGGGGATGTACAGGCTGTTGGGCCCCAGCACTACACCCAAATCTCCATCCAAGAACTCCTGGCCGTTGAGACGCCAGCTGATGTTGGCGGAGGAGGGTCGGGCACTGCAGCGCAGATTCACACTGCCTCCCAGCTTCTGCACCACAGACATGGGCTCCTCAGTGAACATTGGCACCTCGTCTGAAGAAAACATTAAACAAAGCAGTCAGAAGCAAATTAAACTACAATGTTGGGCCAAGAAAAGCTTTTTTTGGCCAGTTTTGCTTGATTATCAAAATAATTGCTGATTCATTTTCTTTCTATTTACTGAATCACTTAAGAGGCTAATCGTTGCAGCTCTACATACAATACTTCTCTTCTTTTCCAGTTCACCCACGGTGGCTAGTGTGGCTAATGCAAACTACACCGCTTCATCAGTTCATTTCAAATAAACTGCTGTTTCTGCTGCCAGACACGTACAACACCTCCCTCTCTGTGACTGAGCCAGAATATTTTGTCCCTGGCAAGATTTAGCCGGCACCAGGTGTTTGGAAAAACTAATGTAAAGGCATTCTAGTGAGTCAAGGCAGCAGTGTGCATTTTGAAGGCACAAAAAACTAAATTTTATTCAGATATTTATTTTACTCAGAGATCCAGTTCTTCACCATCTCAGATTTTCTACTTACCGGTGACGGAGGCGCCGCTCTGCAGGCAGCATAGTAGTACTGCACCCAGAGCACACAACACTGGAGCTCTTCTCTTTTTCATCCACGGAGTCCAGTCTCGCTTTCCAGACATTTTCCATACACTACCCCCTGAAACAAACACACAAAAAGAAGGGTCAGAGGGTCATTTACAGACTTGGTTCACTCAAAACAAACAGCATAAGCCACTTTCCTTCTGACTGAAACAAACACGCACAGAACTGCACGGAAAACAAAGCCGCCAAAATTCAACTTGCAAACATACATCGTCCATCTAAACAGTCAATCGTGATTCATGCATAAGCTGCTCTCTACTTCTATCTTACTTGTATACACACGTACACAAACAGGCAGCCATTAACGAAACACAACCCAGGCGAGGCGGGGAGCTCTGCAGTACCCTCAGCAAAGCCAAACTCCAGACACAAATAAAGCCTTTCTTTTCTGCCAGCCCCCATCTCACCGCTGACCCAATCTCCTCCGCCTGTACCCGCACCCATCCAGCCTGCACTCATCAAAGGGGCGCCCTCATTCTGCGGGGCGTAACCCGACCCCTCCACCTTCCCGCTCAGGTGTAACCGATACAGGTACAGGGTCCAGGAGGAGGAAGGGGGAAGAGAAGGGAAAAACACACAGGCTGCATTCAGAGAGTCGGGACAAAGAACTACTAATGAGAGGCAGGATGGATGGGGGGGGGGGGGAAATATATATCACAGCAGCGAGGAGTGTGTGAGAGATGGAGGAGAGGAGGGGTCTTTTATACTTCAGTGCAGTATGTAATGGGAGGAAAATGGAGAAGACGATGGTAATGGTCAGTCTATTAACAGTTAATGTAGAGAGGGGAGCGTTTCTCTCTCTCCCTTGTCGCCTGCTGCCAAGTTTCCCGAATTCTTTCCTGTCAGGTTAAACTAACAACTTCCCGTCAGGATGAGGAGGGTGGTCCAGCAAAACTGAATCTGTATTACTCCCCCTCTCCCTCTCTCCCTCATATACATACATGTCGCTGAACATGCACATACTCAAGGGCATACACTGTCCTGCGTCGATACAGAAACAATGGAAGCACACAACTTTCTCATACATATTTGGTCTGATCTTATTATGGCAAGGGGATGATTAATGAAGCTCAGACACTAGGGACTACACACACACTCACACACTCACACACTCACACACTCACACACTCACACACTCACACACTCACACACTCACACACTCACACACACGTAAGGGGCCAAAGCAGGACAGTAAGAGAATGGAAACTCTTACATTGCACCTCCATCATCTAATGGCAGCAGTAAAAATGTTTAGCTGCCTGGCACATTTATTGAAAATGAGCAAAGCAGCAGGCTGATGGAAAAACAGCTGTTAACTAACTACGCCAACTGTCACACTAGGCCACACATTACTCTGCTACATTTTAACAGCATATTATGAATTCTCACGACAGGAACAACTTGCACAAAAACAACGAGGAACTGTAACAATTTGTCGACCGATTTGTTCATTTATTAAACCTGTAATAACTGATTTTCTTGGCCACAAGGGGGCAGCAATAACAAACTGTAAACAGAACACACGTCACATTTTTAATTTGATATGGCGAACTTGTTGGCAAACAGTTGCATATTCACACATCCAGCCAATATAGCGCCCACATTCATTCAATCCATGTCCAATATTCACTCAATGTGCGTGCTAAAAGTTTTAGCTCTGTTTTTGGCCTCCTCCAACTCCTGAGGGAAACATCTGGTTGCTAAATGTTCTGTCTGTTGTTTGGTGTTGCGCAGGTGGCGTGCAGTTGGTTTTTAGGGTTATTTTGCTGAAGAAAGCTGCCTGCTGTAGCCAAACAAAGCTGTTGTAGGAGCAAAACTGGTTTACTCTGACATTAATATTACAATTATACTGTACATTGTTATTCTTGCATTAGCACACTTATTCATACATCCAATTCTCAGAATTATTATTCAGTTATTATATTGCTGTTATTTACTGGATACATATATTTACATGTCTTATTTTAAAAATTTCTATACATGTCATCACAAACTGTAGTATAATGCCCATATTCTTTACATACTTCTTATTCTTATTCTTTACTCTGATAACTTCTCTTTGTTTACGGACTTGAGCAACTGTAATCCAACTTCCCCACTGGGATCAATAAAGTATTTCTGTCACTATGAGCGACCGCCTGCACATACATACAAACATAAAAAGTCATGTAAACAAAGTTATTGATTATAGCTAATTTGAGTAAAAATGCCAAACATTGGCTTGCTCTAGGTTGCTGCTTTTCAGTGATTCATGTAACCGTAAATTAAACATCTTTGGCTTTAGACTGTTCTCTCTGGCAAACATCAGAATTCAAAATTAACAATATTGAAAATACCTGTAGTTGCAGCCCTACATACATATAGAGTTTAATTTACTCACTCGTCCACTCAGAGTGGCCCATCAGTAGTGGGCTCGCTCAGTAAACAAACAGCAAGCTACTGTGGAACAAGGAGTGAGCAAAGCCGAAGGCCTGTGGCTTCTGTGGCCGGTCGCTGTATGGACACAACCAGGGATGGCTGCCCATAAAAGACACATACATCTGTATCGAGCACCTGTCCCAACTGTGAGAGTCACTAACCATAAACCACACCAGTCAATCTGCTAACTGGACACAGCAGGACACACAACCCTTATCACTGAGACCCCTTTACCAGTCCAATATCTGTCTTTCACACACAAATAAAATCAGCGAGACAGAATCAAAGATAGAGTTTTGTTATAATGGCGGTATGAGAAAGACCCTTGTACATCATCACTCCCTAAAAACAGCCTTACTCCTCTGAGTCTGTCTGTCTGTCTGATTCATTAGTCAGCTGGGTCCTGTGTTTGCTTAGCGGATACCCTGCCTCAAGATGAAAAGTTGGCCTGACATCTACGTCCAACTTTTTCCATCCATCCTTCCCAGAGAAGTCGCAGACAGACAGAGAGAGAGAGAGAAGAGCCTCCTACGCATCAGCGAGACTGATAAAAACCAGAGCACACACACACACACACACACACACACACACACAAAGACAGCTCCCCTAAATCAAGAACCAAGAGAATGTGTGTGTTAATGTGTGCCTGTGACTGTTTTATTTCAGATTCACCAGCGAGGAACAACGCTGTGTGGCAAACACTATGTGGGAGAAGCTTTGTGGTATTAAAACATACTTCAGTGACAGTGCAGTGAGGAGAACTGTGTGAACTGTTCAAATCTGCCAGACCCAGAGCAAAATTATGATTACAAGAGGGTGAATCTATTTCTGTAATCATGTTGAGGGACTGACGCTTGACTACTGTGAGATCTGACTTACTTGAGGGAGTCAATTCTTACATTTTGACTTGGTAAAATTGATAAAATATAAAAAAATATATATTCTATGAAGTATTGGGAAAAAAGTCTAATTTGTTATCAGTATCAAAACTCAGCTACTGTAGTGGCACTAGTATTAAAAAAAACTTAAAAAGACACCCAGCCCCTGCGACAGTTGGCCCTCACGTGGTCACACTTTGCGTATTGTTAGATACATGCATTGAATATAATATAGGAATATCAGTGCACATACTGCCCTCAGTAGGTGGATCAGATATTGACCATGATGTCCTTGATCCACCTTAAATATAGTTGCTTTATCAGTGTCATAATAAATATTCAGCTACATTTAGTTTTAATTGCAACAGCAATCCCGGGCCTCATGTTAGCTTGCATAAAAATTATGTGAGCACTTGGTATCGGTAACTATCCAGAGTGAAGGCAGTTGGATTGGTGCATCCATTTCATTAACACAAGAAAATGGTCAAAGCATGTGTCATTTTAATGGTAAACATGGAAAAGCATCTTGACTTGTATTCTGGTTATGAAGACTACAGACTAGGCTCTTATTACAGGTGTGTGTATCCTGTTCGGTGTATACATTACAGAGAGGACTCAGTTGTGGCGGTGGTGTGCAGGCATGCATCATGAGTGTAGGTATGTGAGTGCCTTGTCGTTGTGGGAGAGAGTCACTTGACAGAAGTTCATTGTGAGCGTGCTAAGTAAAGACACCGGGGCCCCTGTTCTCCCGGGCCACTGCCAGTCCCATTGTCCCCCTGCCTCCGTGGATAAATTCATTTTGACAACCCTGCTAATTGGATAAAACCAGACTGGAGCCTCCTCCCTGAGCTCTCACATTCCATCTGCTTTCTGGCATGAAGAGGACACACTGGAGGGGAGGTGGTGGTGGAGGGGTAGCAGGGTAGTAACTCCTTCTGAGGAGCTGAGCTGTTGAATATTTATCACCTTCCCAAACTCCCCTCTTGCCCTCCCCCCCGAGTTTTACGTCTTTTTACACCCAGTGCCCACCACCCTCCCTCCCTCCCTCCCTCGAAGTTCTCCAAACACCACAAAGCCCCCCCTTTAGATAAACACATGCGGTGTCAAGTGTGAGGAGTGCCGGGGGTTCAACTGCCCCACTCGGGCCCGCGGCCCACAATGCCATGCCGCATAGCTGCCATGCGGGAGGCCGGTTGCCCCTGGCGACGCTAACAGGCAGAACGCACCTTAATAGAGTGGAGAGTCATTGTAAAGCAGTGAGCCGGTGCACGCACAAAGACCCCGCAGACCCCTGGAGAAAGGGGAGACGCTACTCTGAAGGGCCCGGGGAAGAGCTGATGGGCCCTGCTCAATGACCAAAGAGAAGGAGGGGTGAGGGGGCTCAATGACCAAGAGGTTTGAGAGTAGTGTGTAGAGAGTTTGGGGAGGCAGGGAGGAAAGGGGGGGGGTTCGATGCCTTTAGGGATTGATGTAAGATGGGTGAAGGGGGTTTATGGAGGTAGTGGGGGGGGTGGAGAGGTTGACTGAGAAAGCAGAACGGCTACTCAAATTAATAGAGAGGATGTCAACTGGCAGGAGGAGAGAGCAAGGCCTCGTCAATGAGAGGGTGTGTTCGAGAGAGCGTGTGTGAGAGCGTCGCTGAATGTCCCAACATATTTTCCCCTCACTCTGTCAATGTGTTTGCTGGGCTCTCGGTTTGGCCCGGGTCTGTGCTGAGTGGAGGAGGATGAGGAGGGTCCAGAAGTTGCTCAACAAACCA